CAAACCCACTGTCGTGTTGGCTCTCACTCATAGCAACCCTCCGTTGGGTTTCTAAGGTGGTAATTTTATACAGCAAGAGACTGCTCATCTTTCTCCCAAGGAGTTGATGGATTTGAACCACTGACCTTTTAGTTACAAGATGTTAGGCTCCATGCCACCAGCGCTTGCTCTTCCCCTGTGGAGGTAGACAGTGGGAGGCAAGGACATGGTGCTGCCACCTTGTGGCTGAGGAGGGCTGGCCCCCTGGGCCCTTTGTTCCAGGCACTAACAGGTGTAGGACTGTGTCATCTAAGCTTGCAGCAGCTTTGCAGGGAGTCAGTGCCATTCTTGGCTTCGGCTCTAGTGACTGGTCCAGGGTCCCACACAGCTCATTAGTGGTCAAGCCTAAATTTGCCTCCTACCCGAACTCCCTTGCTCCTGCCTCTTCTCCAGAATGGGACTTGACTCTGGGGAACCCCCCTCCCAAGGTTTCCTCTGGGAGCCCTTGGGACAAACAGCCAGATGCAGGCATGAGACATGAGCCTGCGTGCACATTGACTTACAGGGGTTGACCCCCGAAGACACTGGCCCTTTAAGAGATGGCTGTGCACGTATGGATACTTCACCTGGACTTGGAGTGAGGACGCAGGTGGTGGGTGGGCAACCTCAGGTGAGCAAAGATGGGGGTCTGGACCTCTGGGGTGAGAACTGGGTGGTGAGGAACATGGCCGTGACTTGTCTCCTCTTTCCTCTCTGTACCACCCGCTTCTGTCTGTGTGCTTGGTCACTCTACCCTGTGGCTTGGCCCTGCGTCCTCCTGTCCTTGGCTCGCCGTCAGCCTTAACTGCGTAAACCACATCATGACCTCCCATGCACGCCTGGCTGCCAGCCAGCTCGGCTGGCAACCTCCTCTTGCAGAGCTGGGTCGTCTAGCCAGGGCGCCTCATGGGTCCCTGGGGCTGAGGCTGGTTCATGGCTGCATGAGCTCCACCTTTCAGTGTGGTGGCTGCTCCTCTGAGCACCTCTGTCTGCCTCCAGAGGCCCTAGCCAGCCTCTCCACCCTCCCCTTCCTGGGGTAAGCCGTTCTCCCCAGGGGTGAGCCCCTAAAGCCCTCTGAGCGGTGGGAGAGCAGGTCCCACCCCACACTCCCCTGGATCTCCGTTCCCTCTGGGACCAGGCTGCCCCGAGGGCAGGATGCTCTATCCTGCTTGTCCCACTGAGCCTGCTCTTGCTCAGGGGCTGGAGGGCAGTGTCTGACCAGCACTAAGCACCTTAGAAGCTGCGGTGGCCGTGATGTCCTGTCTTTTTGTCCTGCTGCCGCTGGGCACTCTGAAGCCCATCTTGTCCTGCAGAGCTGAGACCTGACTACGGTCCACCCTCTCTCATTACCACTAAACCCTGTAGGACAGCGTGGCTTTGCCCCTTAGGGCGTCCAAAGCTGTCATATTAAAAAGAGCAGATTACCTCATCTTGCTCCCTTGGAGTGGCTGGTGGATTTAAACCATTGACCTTTTGGTGAACAGCCTAACAACCCGTTGTGCCACCAGGCCTCCCCCCATTATTACTGTCCAAAGAAATGAAAACAGGCAGGCAGGAGCTCCGCACCAGGAAGGGAAAGAATATTCTCCAGAAGTTTCTGGAATAGCCCTGAGCAGTGGGTCAGGGTAAGAGGCACAAAGAGGGACAGGCCACGAGTTGAAAGGCCATCCCAGATGCCATATGACTGCCACTGGCTCCGGGACTTCCTTTCCTCTCTGCATGGGGAGGCTTCTGTCACCCATGAGTGTGGCTGGTAGAGGTCTCAGCCATTGACTCAGTTGACCCATCTCTAAGAGACCTTCCTGTGATGCTATTCCCAGAACCTGAACTGAACTGGGCTCCCAGGGGCCTGGCAGAGACCCCCCAAGAGTCCCAGACATAATCCGAGGAGGTCCTAGCTCCTTAACAATTGGTGCTCTCAGGGCGTCTCACAAATCCCTAATGTAACATGTTGAATTGCTAATTGAGGTTTGGGCTGGGCTCAAGTCCTCCAGCTATCAGTCCCTCTAGAGAAAGATGGAAAGCCCCTCCCATAAAGATTCATAATCTTAGAAACCTGGAGGGTTGGCAGGAGTCTGAATTGACTCTGTGACAGTGAGTTTTTGTTTAGGGACATCTCAGGATGCTCTACTTTGGGGTGCACTTAGGGCAGGGTTCAGAGAGAGGTTTGCAGAGAAGTCCTGTTGATACCCTTCAACCTCAAAGATCCACCCTGGCCACATCCCCCAGAAGGGCACCCTGACCTGCCCATTCATGGGGGCTTTTCTGGAGGAAGCCCCCTCCTGGAGGCGAGTATGCAGCCCCCGAGTGGGCACTGTCCCTCCCCATATCTTCTTGAACAAGCCACAGACCGGACAAGAGCAGAGGGGACAGAGTGGTGTTGGCCCTTTTCCTCAAGCTGGCGGCTCTAGGCCTCTGTTGCCGTGGAGATGAGATGGTGCCTGTGGGAGGCCAGCGCACAGCCTTTTCCACCCAGAGCCTTTGGCAGTCTTGCAGTTTCTGAGGTCAAGAGCCCCCCAAAGTGGATGCCAGAGAGGGGGTGTTCCAAATGAAGGCTGGCCATATGGGTGAGCAGCACCCGTACTGGATGCAGGCCTCTGTCTGCTGCTGAAGTTGCCTCTTGTCCATCTCTGGGCCCACTCAGTCCTGAAATGTGATGCTGCTCGTTCCTGAGGACCTGTGCTCAGCAGAGGCAGAGGCCTGGGCCCCCAGCACCAGGTCCTGTTTGGTTATTGGAAGGAGGATGATGCTGGCAGCAGACAGCTCTGAAGTGCCCACAGCAACACTCCTACCATCCTCAGTTGGCCTCTGGAAGCTTCTGGGCACCGTGGGGCCCTAAGAACATTGAGCAAGGACAAGGAAGGCAGCTGAGGCCCAGCTGGGCAGCCGACAGACAGATGGAAGGTCCAGGGAAGGCTGAATCTTAACCACCATGGTCCCCTCTGCCCTGGACGTCCACTGAGGGGTGGCCATGGGCAGGTGGCTTGTGGACACAGAGATGGAAAAGGTAGAAGAGGGCCTGCTTCTGACAAGACCTGGGCAGGGAGCTGCTTCTGCTCTCCTGGGGCTTCCTGTTGAGCATCTGTGGGGTGTGCACATTGTACGTGTATGTGCGTGCATGTGTGTGTGAACACATGGACAGATGCTTAGGTGAAAATGTGTACAGTCACAGCCCGTTTCCACATATGCGCATGTGCCTATGTGCACGTGTGTGCCTGTGACATGTGTGCATGCACTGCTGGGGGGTGTGCGCACGTGTGTGTCAGGTGTAGACACACTGCTGGGGTGTACTGTGTGTCTTCTGTGCCTGGGTGTGCGTGCATGTGTGCCTGTGTGCATGTGACATACGTGGATGCATTGCTCGAGTGTGTGCACCTGTGTGTGCGTGTGCATGTGCGTGCATGTTGCAGCTACATGGAAGCAGCCAAAGGTGGACGCAGAGCCTCCTGAACCACTGGGGTTGGGGGTGGGGGTGGGGTGGGGCCCTCCCTCCCTCCCTCCCTCCCTCCCTCCCTGGTGTGGGCTCTCCCTGGTGGGTAGCAGATGCCCTCTGCTTGGACCATATGCCTGTCAGCTGGGCTGGGGGAGTTAGGAGTCATCTTGCCCTGCTTTTGGGCCTTACAGTGCACTTCCCTGGCAACGGTGCCAGCGGAGGACCCAGCCCACAGTCCCAGCTGGTTCTGAGGCCCTGCGTTGCCCTTCAGAAGAGTCAAGTATCTGCACTGTGTAGCCTGAGGACAAGCTGGGGCTGTGGGGACCAACTGTCCAGGGCTAAATCCTGATCCTGCACCACACCCCGCAGCTGTGTGGTATGTGTGATCAATTTCTCTGCATCTGTTTTCCCATCTGTAGAATGGGGACACCATCTACCTTGCAGGGCTGAGGAGGTGAGGCAATAGGTGGTGCCTGAACAGGGATGCGTTAGATCCACCTTCCACAGCTGCAGGGAAAGGCCTCCCCAAGAAGGTCCTGCACCCTCTTCACTCACCCCCCACCCCTGAAATCTCCCCCAGAATCCGTGAGGTGGCTGTTCACTTTATTTTTTCTTTATTCACTAGCTTGTCTCCCTATACTGGTGTCCCAGTGGGCTGGCTCTGCTGGGAGCTGAGTCTGGGGTCCTCAGGCCTCCATAGCCCTGTGGTGTGGACAGGACAGACGCCCGGCCCTGAGTCTGTTAGGCTGAGCTGGCCTTGTTCAGCACAGAGCAGGGGATGGACTTCCAAGAGAACCAGCCTTGTGGTGGGAGTGGGGAGGGGAAAGGGTGGACACAGGGTGGGGTCCAGTGCTTTTTGGGTGAAACTGAGGCTGGAGACTCCAGTTCCGGTGTCTCTGAGCAGGTGGATGGTTGGGGGGACTTAGGTGAGCACTGGGACCACAGAGTAGGATCCCTCCTCAAGCCTGGTGTTCCTCTCAGGGTGACACATACAGGGCAGCCCCCCTCAGATGGTGAGGGGGCTGCTCTGGAAGGGGAGGAGGCCTCCAAATCAGTCCATGCCCTGAAATCGCCTCTGCTGCCACCCCATCTCGGGGTTCTAGAATCGTGTGCATTTTAGGACAGGCTTGGCCTGGGTGCCTCCCACTGCCTTCTTCATGGCCCTGCACAGGAAGAAGTGGGGGGACATGTGTCAGGACACTGTGACACCACAACCTCTGACCTGTGTCCATTCTGCAGACTCAGGAGGCACTGTCACCTACTCTTGGGATGTGGTGGGGGCAGTACCCCTAGCAGGTATCTGGGGGCATCATTGGTAGGGCCTGTGAGGACCCCCAACAATGACCACCACAGCCCTGGGCCCCATCTCACAAAGGAAAGGCCCCTCTTGATGGAGCTTTGAGGAGCTGGGCTTTGTGGAGCTGAGTGGAAGGGCCACCCAGCCTTAGTCCCACCATCCCGTGGTGTGCCGTGTACCCTCGGGCCAGCTCTCCTCCTCTGCCCCCACCCGCTCCGGTTGGTCGTGGGCAGGGGGTCCCAGGCGGCCCACTCACTGGGTCTGCACATCCTGGATGGTGTCGGGCAGCGGCATGTTCTGGGTCTCGGGCAGCAGCATCGCAGCCAGGCCAGTCAGCACAGGCACTGTCCCGTATACCAGCAGTGGCAGCGAGGACCCGTACATACCCAGCAGGCGGATCAGGGGCCCCAGGATAGCTCCCGAACGGGCCGCCATCTGGCTCAGGCCCACTGCGGTCATCCTGTCGGCACAGACACATGGGAGTGACCACCCTGCCTGTCATGGCCTTGTGTGGCTGGCCTGAGAGACGCTGTATATCAGATCGGGCCCCACACAGCAGTGCAGCTCTGAGACCATGAGGAAGGGAGACCCGCAAGGTCACTGAGCCTGGGGAAGACCACCACTCCCATCCCCAGCCTAAGACCCCCCTCTGGAGCCTGGGCCCTCTCACCTGAGCACGGTGGGGAAGAGCTCGCCCGTGTAGATGGTGACGCAGGTGAAGACGGCCCCCACCCCGCTGAGGCCCAGCACGGCCAGGGCTGAACGCAGGGCCTCCATCTCTGTGAAGAGAGGCGGCTTAGTGGGGACTGGGCACATGTGGGTGTAGGGCTGTGTTTGTAGGTTCAGTTCATGGTCACCTGGGTGTCCTATTGTTATGTACCATTGAGTCCAACTTGAAGCAATTCACAGCCCTGACAGGCACATAGGGGCTCCCAGCCTTGTAACCTTTGTGGAAGGTTCTCTGATGGTACAGTGGTTAATCACACAGCTGCTAACTGCCAGTTCCGCAGGAGTAAGTCAGTTCTAGGGAACCTGCAAGGCTGGTCTGCTTAATCCTTTAAGGTCAATACAGTTGAAATCAACTCAAAGGCAACAGGCAGCTTGGTGTGGGTTCATTTTTATGAGAGCAGACTGCCAAGTCTTGTCTCCTTTGATTAACACCAGAGAACCTATCATTGTTCCCTAGGCCCCACAAATGCACTAAAATCCCCTCCCCAACCAGCCCCACTCCCAGTTAGCTTCCCTTCTCCCCCTGTAGCCCCTCCCTCAATTATTCTCACAATTATTCACAATGCTGACACTACCTAACCGGCCTCTCACTGCCCAGGTGACTACCAAGAGCCTTCCCTAGTCTTGCCCTCCTGCCCTTGCCACCTGCAGTCTGGGTCTTCTGCAGAAGGAGGAGGCCACGCCCCGTGCCGCCAGGGCCCCGCCCACCAGCCGTGTCCCCGCCCACCAGCCGTGCCCATCCCACCAGCTGTGCCTCGTGCTGCCACGCCCCACACTGCCCGACCCCGCCCACCCGCTCACCGTGGGGCACCAGCGTGTTGGCCAGAATGCAGAGCCCAGACAGCACCAGGGACATGACCTGTGTGGGGCGACGGCCCAGGCGGTTCAGCAGCAGCAAGGTGCCTAACTTGGCCGGGATGTCACCCACCCCAATGAACACCTGGAGCAGGAAGATGTTGCTGCCCAGGGCCTGCAGGTCCAGGGCCAGGCCGAAGAAGGTGAAGCCAAAAGCAAACCTGGGTGTGTGTGGAGTCAGATTGGGGATTGGGCAGGGCTTGTGCTCATTCATCCCCAAATCTTCCAGCCCTTCTCCCCACCAGGGGTGGTGGTGATGTTGGGGGGGGGCGGGAAATCCACCGGTGATCTTGGCGAACTACATTTCCCAGGCTCCCTTGCAATGTGTCTACTGCCATGTACCATTGGTGGCCTAGTGGTCAGAAGCTGCGCTGCAATGTTAGTCTCAGGGTTCGAATCCTCCAACTGCTCAGCAGGAGCAGGATGGGCAACCTCGTGCAATTTACTCTGAAAACCCACTGGAAGGTCAGCTAAGGGTCAGTCCTGACTCAAGGCACACAACAGTAACAATAATGGGAAGTTCTGGTGGGAAACTGGGAGTGGGACTAAGAGAAAGCCTGGGAATTTCTCCTTTCTTCTCTCCTGTTGAGAGAGTTTAATAAAGGAATGACTCTATAGAAAAGATTTAAGGAGGATTTGTGACACAGGCGTGGGGAAAGCTGGAAGGTGTGGTGATTAAACTCCTCCCACTGAGCCTGCCTGCCTGGAGTGGGCTCTTTCTTGATGGAGGCTGGCTGGCCAGGGAGGAGGTGGCTGGGCTGCAGCCTTGTCCCCAAGTCACTCTCAGGCCACTGGGGTCAGTGAGGGAGTCAGTAGAAGACCCCTGGACGCATGCTTTCTGAGCCCCAGGGTGTGCCCAGGTAGGGTGTTGAGGGGCATCTGCCATACCAGCACAAGATGGAGATGCATGTCCGCTGACGGAGGCCGGGGGTGCGGAACAGGGCCACCATGCTGACTGGAGCCTGGCCTGCTCTCTGCTCTTCCTGCATGGCTGAAAGTAAGCCCTGCAGGGCGAGGGAACAGTGAGCACAGGCGGCAGCTGATGGCCTCACCTCCCTGGAGCCGAGCCCTAGGCGTCTCCCAGGTGTGAGGTCAGGAAGACGAGGCCCACCTCACCTCAATGGTCAGTGCCTCCGCCGCGGCCTTCTTCCCATTGATGTTGGCCACTCTCTGCAGCTCACGAAGGCCCCGGGTCACCTTGCCAGTGATGAGCAGCCAGCGTGCAGACTCGGCGAGACACCTGGGGGGGCCACAAGGCCACGGTCAATGCTCTCCAGAGCCTGGGCCTTACCCAGCCAGCCGGGGTAAGCATCTGGGCTCCTGGGGCTTCTGTGAGAGGAACTCTGTCACCCCAGCTTCCCCTGTGCCCAAGGGCCTGCTGTCCACACTGGTACCTACAAGCCCTCCCCACTGCCCCACCTCACTCTTGATCCTGGATGCCAGTCTCTCTTCTGTTTCTAGTCACCTGTTTCTGCTCTCTCAGCCTGACCCCTCCGCCCTCAGCATCTTGCTCACCCTCCTCACTAGCCCCTGCTGCAGCTCCCACAGTCTATCACCACCTCCATGTTTCTTTCCAGAAAGTTCTACCAGCCAGCAGACCAGTCCTATGCCAGGGGAGCTCAGCAAGCAGTGGTGGTGGTGCTGGTGAGGGCAGGGCACCCTCACCCATCCTTTTGGGGCCTGAGGTTTTCGAATTCGCAGGGAGGGGAAGTGAAGGGAGCTGCTGACAAGATCTGGTGACCAAGGGAAGCCGGGGGCTGGGAGGATAGCCGTGGTGACCCTGAGCCCCAGTTATGGGTTGTGTAAGGGCTACCTTGAGTTGGGGGAGCTGGGGAGGGAGCAGGCATGGGGACATCATGCAGGCAGTCAGGAATACAAGGCTGTGTGTCAGGTGGGATCCGTGCTACACTGGCCATTTGGGGTCTTGGGATGGATGTGGACAAGGGCCCTGGGAAGGGAGCATCCACCTCTAGCAGGTAGGAGGGGCGGGGCCTGGACACCCACCAGGAGTACAGGAAACTGAGAAAGAAAGGCGTGGAGACCACCAGCTGCAGCATGGCCCAGTTGCGCACACCGTAGGCCACAGCGGCCATCAAACACTGACCCAGGCTGAAGCCCAGGGCATTCAGGGTCATTGCCAAGGGCCGGGCTGGTGCTGATGTCCACTCTATCACTGTCAGGAGAAAGGGGCTGGTCAGCCTTGTGTCAAGCTGATCACCTGGACTCTCTCTGCAGGGCTGAGGGTCGGGGGACTTACAGAGAGTGCTTGTGTTCATCATGATGCCTGCCACGGCAAAGGCCACCAGGAAGCGGAGCAGGCAGTACACAGCAAAGGTGGGGGCGAAGGCGGCCGCGGTGCCCGCCAGGGCCAACTGAAGGTAGCTCCAGGTCAGCAACAGCTTGCGCCCGAACCTGTGACATAACAGGAGTGGGAGTGGCTCCGAGGCTGGTCAGGACCCCTGACAATCTGCTGCATCACCCGTTGAGCTGAGGATGCCCTCAGGAACCCCAGGGCCAGATCCTCCTTCTCTGCCCCTTGAAGTCCCCTGAGCTTATAGACAGGTGTCTCTGAGTCCAGCAGTCAGAGAATTAGATCTCAGCAGGGGATGAGCTCCCATCTTTAGCAGGAGTTAAGCAGGCACATGGCAGAGCTGGTTTCAGGAATGAGCGACTGATGGGAAGCAGTGACCCTCTGCCACCCTGAGTAGGATCTGGGAAACTGAAGCCCAGAGAGGGCACAGTCTTGCTGCTCAGAGAAGCAACACAGCTGGAAGGGGCCAACACTATGGCCAGTGCCCACAGAGTCTGGCTCCAGGCTGAGCTTCCTTCCCAGGCGTGGCTGTGAGGGGCCCGGCAGAGGCCGACGGCTGTGTAGGCTGCACTCACCTGTCTGAGGTGTGGCCACACACAGCAGCTCCCACCAGGATCCCAGCCAGGTAGATGGACTGGGCTATGGGCTTCAGGGCCTGGGAGTCACATACCAGGTCCCACTGGAAGGGAGGGAGGGGACAGAGGATGGAATGGGACTGTGCACTCTGGGGCCATGGGCTGAGGCTCTATGGGACAGTGAGGGTGGTTAGGTGTGGCTTTGTCTCTGGAAAGCTTTCTGGTAGCCCCTTGCCTAAATCCTCCCATGGCTCCCTGTCCATTCTGCAGCCACCAATGTCCCCCTGACCTTCCCTCTGGTCTTCACACTGTCCTCCCTTCCCGCTCGGTGGCATGAGCAGTCCACCCCCTAGATTGACCAAGTGCCTTTTCTCCTCTGGAAGCCACCTTGAGTTCTCAGGGAGGCCTGTGGGCAGTGAGGGTCCCAGCCCCAGCCCAGGGCCTCCATGATCCGGTCCACCTTCTCCGAGTGCCAGTCTGGTAGGTGGGTGCCTGGGCTGCGTGGGGTGGAGTCCCAGTTGGCAGGTGTGGACAGGACCAGACCGAGGGGAGCCAGCAGGACCATAGGCCCACCCCTCAAAAGGCTGCTCCATAACCCCCTTTGGCCTCCCCTAGTCTCCGGCCCCGGGACAATGTACAGAATGACCTAGTGGCCTTTTGTGATGGAGCCAATTTCCAGAACTGAGACATTTTGAGGTCAGCCAGGTGTCACCTGTGCCTTTGACCCCTAAAGGGTGTGTTTGTGGTGGCGGGTCCCTCACCTGTGTCACGATGGTGGAGGTGAAGGTGGTGTGGTCGTAGACCCAGCCGTCCACGCATGGCTCTGTGTCGGCCTCGCTCCAGTTGGTGGCGGTGGCATTGAGGTCCAGGAGATGCCACTGCGGGTGGCGGAAGCGACGACATGAGTGGAGCCCCTGGTGGGGGCCTGGGGGGATGGAGACGGTGAGCAGGGCCTCGGGGCCCAGGGCTCCAGGGACGCTGGCCTGGGCTGTGCTGTTGTCCAGGAGGGGCACCCAGCAGCGGTGGTCGGGCACGGCACTTGAGAAATTCTCCAGCATGCCGTGCATGGTGACCCACATGATGGGGACCATTAGGGCCACCGTCTGGAGGACCTGGAACCTGCCCTGGCCGCCCACTCGGTCCAAGAGTTCAGCAAATGCCATGGGGACTTCCAGGGGACCCAGAGGTGCATGTCAGGAGCCACTTGCCTCCCTGACCCGGAGCGTCCACCCAGTGCTGTGGCTCAGGGTGGCTGGACAGAGACTGGAAGCCACCCACATCCTCAAGCCTCTGCCCTGGGACCTCCCAGGAAAGCTGGACTAAGGGTGGAAAAGGAGGAGGCTGAGTTCACCCAGACGGGAATTAAACTGTGACTAGGCTCACTGTGGACCACGGCTTAGTAATCACTCCCCCAGTCAAAGTTTAACCTGTTCCGGGAGACACATCTGTGTGCCCTCGGCTTCCCAGCTCGGACCCTTGTCCCTGCAGCACCTTGACCTGTAAAGTTCCAGGTCCCCCCAAGGGGTCACACCTATAGGGCCTGAAATGCTTCCTCCTCAGGAAGCTCTCCTGGCCTGGTCCTGCCACGCTGGACTCCAAGACGTCCCTGGAGCCATCTACATGTCTGGTCCCCTCCCAGTATCATCCAGGGGGTCTCGTTCTCAGCCTGTCCCCGGAGGGTGGGGACCTTTGGGGGCCATCCTTGGGACTCGGTGCTGATTTGGATGACAAACATAGGCTCAGTTGAAGACACACTGAAACTTTTGGCTAGTAATAAAATAAATATATAAATTTCTGCCCAGTTCAGGAAATACTGGGAGACAGGAAGAAAATGCAGCTCATCCCAAACTTCGCCCACCAGGGATCGCCACAGTTACCATTTGGGTGTGACTCCTCCCAGGTTCTCAGGAACTGTGGTGTCCAGCCCCAGCCCACCCACCCCCTTGCATCTCTCCTTTTGTAAATGCCAAATGACAGGCACTGACTTCTTGATGTGTGGAAGGATGTGGATCAGAAAGCCTGAGATTTCAATCACTCCTGAGGGTACAATTCAATGACATTAGTCATTCATGCTGTGCAACTGGCATCCATATCCAGGCCTCTACAAATTATTACCCCAAACTCAAGTACCCTATAAGCAGTAACCTCCACTTCTCCTTTCCCTGCACCCTCTGTGAACCACTGGTCCTTTCTCCTCTACGCATCTCCTGTTTGAGATATTTCATCTCAGTGGAATCATAGTATTTGCTCTTCTTGCCTTGACTTAGGTTACATCACTGTCAGTCCCGAGCATGATGCCCTTCTCCAAGGACCAGCCCCTCCTAGCAACATGCCCGAAGTATGTGAGATAAAGTTTGATTATCTTTGCCTCCAAGGAGCACTCTGGCTGTCCTTGCTCCAAGACAAAGCCATTTGCTATTTTGACAGTCCGTGGGATATTCAGCACTCTTCTTCAACACAATAGTTCAAGTTCATCAATTGTTATTCCATCACCCTTATTCATTGTCCAGCTCTCAGATGCATAGTAGGTGATGGAAAAGACTGTGGCCTGAATCAGGGGCACTTTAGCTTTCAAACTGACGTCATTGCTCATTCGTAATTTGGAGAAGTCCCCAACTACAGACTTTCCCCAGTGCAATACATCTCCTGATCTCCTGAATGCTGGTATCAAATGCACTGATTGTGGATCCAAGTGAGATGAGGTTGTTGACATTCAGGCTTTTCTCTATCTCTCATGCTGCCCAATTAATCCAGCACTGAGGATTTTGTTGAGATGCAATCCATACTGAAGGCCATAAGAAACGCACAGCCTGCCTAGAAAACCTTATTGGGTCATTTGGTGGTTTTGTTGTTGTTGTTGTTTTGTCACATAAAGTCACTAGGAGTTAAAATTGGCTTGATAGCACATAACTTCAGTAACATCCCTCAGGTATCCTGTATTGAACATTCCTTCTCTGTGCGTTTGGAGAGATTCCACTGTATTAAGTGCCATCGAGGCTGCTCTGACTCACAGCGACTTTGGTTACAGCAGATTGAAACCCTGTCTAATCTGGCACCAACCTCCCAGCAGCTTCTGTGGCAGAGCCCATCGGTACAGTGCCCGCGCCCATCTGTCTCATTGAGAGCCTTCCTCTTCTTCACTGACCTCTGCTCCTCCAAATATGATGTTCTTTCCCAAGGACTGACCCTTCTTGGACAAAGTGCCCAAAGTAGACGGGAGAAAGTCTCAGCATCCTTGCTTCTAAGGAGCACTCTGGCTTCACTTTTTCCAGGGCAGAGTTGTTCTCTGGCAATGCATAGTGTCTCCAGTGCCCTTAGCCAAGATCACCACTCAAAGGCATCAATCATTCTTTAGTCTTCTTTAGTCATGGTCCACTTTTCATGAGCACGTGAAGAAGCTGAAAATACTGGGGCTCGGCTCAAAGATGAGACGTTCTTGCTCTTTAGAGCTTCAAAGAGGAAGGTCCCTGGCAGCACGTGCACCCTGTGCGATATGTCGTTTGCTTTCTTGGTTGCTGCATAGGAAAAGGAGATCATTGACAACTTCTCCATTGTCATGCTCCTGCCTATTGGTTCAGTTGTGAGGAGTTTTGTTTATTTTGAGGTGTGATTCACATTGAGTTGGATTACCTGGGGATGGAGTTTGACCAGGTGAGGCTGGTGGATGGAAACAAGCCATGTGAGGGGTGTATGTGCAGGAGAGTGGCCATCATGGCGTGTGCAGGTAAAGAGGGCGTGGATCATGGGGTTTCTGAGACTGACGAGACCTGGGGATTGTTCCAGTGTCCATTCCTACAGGAAAGAGCCGCAGACAGGAAGTGGCGGTCAGAGAGAGGGAGGCGGGTGGAGACATTCGCGTGAGGAAGTTACCCACCTAGACTGAGAGTTTAAGGGTGAGTGGTGGGTGGAGCACAGGATTGTGGGAGAGCAGAAAGGAGAGGCCATTCATCAGAACAGAGGACGCCTGTTAACTTTCCTCAGGGACAGCATGGCCACTGCTCACAGCCGGTCCTTGGGGAATATCAGGAGTTGTTACTAGATAGAAGGCACATTTTCCAAAAATAAGCACAGGCAGCGTGCCTGTCAGCCTGTGCTGTGTCGTGTGCACTTAGGGACACGTGGTGGACATCTTTCTGGCTGGATCATGCGGCAGGTTGTTGTGATTCCTCCCAATCCCTGACGTCCTGTGGCGATAGCAGCTGCCTCTGGTCCCAGGCCAGGCTGGAGAAAGGGCAGGCAGGAGAGCTCACTGTTGGTGACTCAGCAAAGTCACCAGCCAGCGTGGAGATGGCCGGAGGAGGCGGCCGCCAAAGCTGGCTTGGGCTGCTCAGAGCCTGCCAGGGCTCTGTCCCCTTGAGGTTCCACAGAGCTCAGGAAATGGCATGCGTGTCCGATCAGAACCCTGTTCTCCAGCCTCTGCTCAGCACTGTGGGCTGGATACTTTGAGACTGGACAGCAGGAAGAAACTAGCCCTTCTCCTGAGGGAAACACAAAAACTGGTCCCTTGTCACCGCTTGTTCAAAGCCTGAGCTGGTTTTGTGTTCCGGAGAGAAGAGAAGGTGGTGGAGAAACCTCTTCTGCCCAGCTCATTGCGGGAGCTTTTGCTGCCTTCTCCATGTGACTGTCACAGGGAGCACTCTTTCTAGAACATTCCCTGTTCCCCTCCACCCCTCTATTTTCACCCCTTGGTTGTTTCTTCTGAAAAGCCATTCTTAGCATTCCCACCAGTCCTCACTATCTTTCTAGAGTGGTCCTGACCCAGGTAAGGTGGAATCTGACTCATTAGTTCTCTAATGGTACCTGGTAGAAGATTTGGCACCCAGACTCTGGCCAAGCAGGACAGGGGAGAAAGCGTGGTAGTTCTTCACTGTTGTCAGGTGCCAGAGAGTTGAGAAAGACTTATGGTGGAGAATGACTCATAGTGACCCTACAGATAACAGCTGAATCCTGTCCTATCCTGTGCCATCCACGTCGTCTCTGACGTACTTGAACCCATTGCTGCAGTCATTGTGTCAGTCGTCTTGTTGAAGGTCCTCCACTTCTTAGCCAGCCTTCTAGCTTTCTAAGCATCATGTCCCTCTCCAGGGAATAGCCTTTTCTAGCAATATGTCCAAAGTATATAAGATGGAGCTTTGTTATCTTTGCCTCCAAGGAGCATTCTAGCTGCACCTCTCCAAGACATATCTGTTTATTCTTTTGGCAGTCCGTGGGATATGCAGTACTCTTCTTCAACACCATAGTTCAAAGGCATCAGTTCTTCTTCTGTCATCTTTATTCATTGTCCAGCTTTCAGATGCATAGCAAGTGACGGGAAAGACCATGGCCTGAATCAGGTGCACCTTAGTTCTCAAACTGACATCATTACTCCTTAGTATTTTGGAGAGATGCCTGAGAGCAGACTTGCCTAATGCAATACATTTCCTGACTGCTGGTACCAACGGTGTTGATTGTGGATCCAATAAGATGAAATCATTGACAATTTCACTCTTTTCCTCATCTATCATGATGTTGCTTATCTGTTCAGTGGTGAGAAATTTCTATCTTCTTGATATTCAGATGCAATCCGTATTGAAGGCTGCATTCTTTGATCTTCTGCAGCAAGTCTTTCAAATCCTCCTTACTTGCAGCACCAAGGTTGTGTTATCTGCATAAAACAGGTTGTTCATGAGTCTTCCTCCAATCCTGATTCCACATTCTTCTTTATAGAGGGCAGCTTCTCGAATGATTTGCTCAGCATACAGATTGAATGGGCATGGATAAAGGATATGAGCCTGACGTACACCATTCCTGATTTTAAACCTAAGTTCTTCATGTTGTTGTTGTTGTTAGTGCCATCGAGTTGCTTGCGACTCATAGCGACCCTATGTACAAAAGCCCTAAACTCTGCTCTGTCCTGTGCCAATCGCACCGTCTCCAATACACCCATCCCGATTATCCCAGTCACTGAATCAATCCACCTCATAGAGGGTCTTCCTCTCCTGTGCTGTCCCTCCACCCTCCCAAGCATGATGTCCCATAGTCAGAGTTTAAATTCAGTCTCTCTGGGCCTTGGGTTTCTCATCTGAGAAAGGGATGTTGTACTCAAGATTAGTCCAATGATGAAAAGTAATGGCTGCTAACAGGCCTCATATTCTGTACACCAGAGTGTCCACACAGGAAAAAT